AGATTGAGGTTGTTAACAGCTTTAGCTTGCTTGGCTCCACAATCAACACTCTTGGCACAAGCAGTCAGGATATCAAAATATGAACTGGATTAGGAGTCTCCAGAGTGCTGAAATGCAAAGATGTCAGTCTAGAGACAAAGATGCACCTGTTCCAGGCCATGGTCTTTGCAATTACTCATTATGTATCAGAGAGCTGGACAATGGATAAGGATGACAGAAGAAGAATTGATGTCTTTAAGCTGTGGTGCTGGAGAAGAGTACTGAACATACGATGGACTACTAGGAGAACAAACAGGTCTGTTCCGGAGAGGGTGAAACCAACCTGCTCTCTGAAGACATGGATTTTGAAGTTGCCAGGACATCATGCTTGGAAGGGTAGAAGGACAGTGCAGAAGAGGTAAACACTCGATGAGATGGATCAACATAGTGACTGGGGTAATAATGAGTGTAGCTGTGTCAGCGACAGTGAGACTGGCTCAGGATAGGACAGAGTGTATAGGGTCGCTAAGAGTTGCAGATGACTTGATGGCACATAACAACAACAACAACTTACTGTAGGTAGTCTGTAAATTATCCTAGTTTCTGTTAGTAAATTGGCTTAGAAAAGGGATCTTTATTTGCCCTATAAGCACCCAAATATTTAAATAAGTAATTATACAACTTTGCCTGCTAGTGGGTAAAACAGAATTAAAACAACAACAAACATGGGTAGAGAAGCTGTGGTATATTCGCACAATGGAATATTATGCTGCATTGAAAAACAAGGAACTCATGCAATATTATTCAAAATGGGTGACCCCGGAGGACATTATGCTGAGTGAGGGATCTCAGTCACAAAGGGACAAATGCTATATATGGTGCCACTGTTGTAGAATGAGGCTGACATCGGGATGGGGGTAAGACTGAGGAAAACTGGATGAAATATGTTTATGGTATTGAAGTCTTTGGGGGAGAGAATATTTTATATTTTAGGGCATTATGTTTATCGTAAGAGTAAGGAATGAGGATTGCAGAGTGGATTATATTTGGGGTTGGGGGATGTGTGGGGGAGACTGGGTACCAATGAGGGAGTTTTTCTTTTGCTTTTGAAGGAGAGGAGCGAACGGGGGTGGGGGGGCGGGGAGAAGGGTGCAACAATGAATGAATGGAATTCCAAAATCTCTGTAGATGGTCATTGAAATGAAAAATAAGTGTATTTTTAAAAAAACCAAAAAAACCCCAAAAACAACAAACAGCAAACTGACCCTAACCCCATTGCTGCTGAGTCGGTTCCAACTCATCGCAACAGTCCACCAGGTTTCTGAGACTGTAGATCTTTCTAGAAGGAGACAGTGTCTATCTTTCTCCCTTGGATATGCTGGTGGGCTGGAACGGCCTAACACTACACAGAGTTCCTTCAGTGACACTGAAGCCAGACAATGTAGGAAAAGAATCTTATTAAAACAAAATGGACTGTAACTGAGTTTTAAACATGATTTTAAATATGTGCAATAAAGTATTAACACTAATATAATGAAAACAGGGTATTACTTTACCATCTTCTCCTTCAAACAGTACGGAAAACAAAATTATCCTAGAAAAGCCATGCATTATGTGTTAAGGGCTTTTTATTTGGAATCACTAGATCTTAGAGCTCTGATGGCCTAGTGGTAAGAAGCTGCACTGTAATCCCAAAGGCACGTGGTTTGAATCCAGCTGCTCTTCAAGAGAAAGATGGGCAATGTCCTTCTGTTCCATTTATGGCTCTGAAGCCCCACTGGATGGCTGTGGATTGGTTCCACCTTGACGGCACACAAGAAGAGATCTTAGAAAGCAGCTGTGATCCTATCACTCATTATGTGTGGTGACCAGGACGCTAACTTCACCTCTCTGCTCAGGCTGTTCATCTATCATGCTGTTCAGTTGAAAAGAATGACTCCTCAGGACTTATAGCTCTTTAAGTTCCTGATGTGGGGTAAAATACAACTGTTGATTCTTTCCTTGGATACTACAATGTTATCTACCATAGAGTGGAGCTGACTGAGAGTTGACCCTCTAGTACCTTTTCAGGAGCAGTAAATTGCACGGGAAGCCACTCCCCATCGTTCTCCCATGACACAGCTGGTAAATTTGAACCCAGTGTCTTTGGGATGGCCCGAGCTCCCACGGATACCACTGTTGTTGCTGTTATGTTCTGTCAAGTTGGAACTGACTCATAGCTGACCCTCTGGGGGGTTGTCTATCTTTCTCCTGCAGAGCAGCTGGTGGATTTGAACTGTGTGCTGTCAGGTTGGCAGTGGAGGTCCTGACCACTAGGCTACCTACCATAGATAAGTCTAAATTTCCAACGAAGCAACTATTCACTCTGCGGGTCGTGTTGCTGTTACGTGCTGTCAAGTTTTGTGGAGCCGACTCCTAGCGGACCCTCCAGCAGGTTTTCAGAGGCTGCAAACTACACAGGAGGAGAATGCTCATCGTGCTCCCACAGAGCGGTGGACACAGAACTCCTTTTTCTAAGGTGGCTTGGTGGTAAGGAGTTGCCCATGCTCATCCTTCTCCCGTGAAGTAGCTGCTGGTCGGGTTGGCGGTGCACTTGGTCATCAGACCTCCCTGACCTACTCATTAGGGAATAGAACTTTCACTTTCTGGTCATATTTTCATGTTATTCTCCTACCTACACAGAATCTCTACTTCAGTGCTCCAAGAAAAAAACCAAATGAATGTTTGTAAACCAAACCAAATGTTAAATTTGTTTAAAGAGAGAGTATAAATTTTCTGTTTCAGGGTCTAAGTATCTGTGATTAAGGTGATTAAGTTTTGACTTTGCCCTGTCAAACTGCATGGAGGAGGAGTGACGAGTGATATGCTACAGATATGACAGTGACCTAGCTAGCATCTGTGCTAGCCACGCATGGTAACAATGCGGAAAAGTCAACGGATACATGGATAAAAAATTAGCTTCCAATTTTGAAATAATACCTCAGCAATAGAGAGAAATGAGTTCCTGATCCACATTACTACGTGGATGAATTTTGGACAAGCATGCCGAATGTATTAAGTCAATCACAAAAGGGAAGCTATTTGAACAGGTAAGAAAGCAACAGAAGACTAGTATTTCCTTGATAATATCTGAAAGGGGAGAAGTGTGCATTTATTATGTTGTTGTTATGAGCCCCCAGGAGAGCGGAGGTTGGATTTGGTCCACCTGCCTTTGGGTTGGTGGTGCAACTCCTAATCACTAAACCACCAGAACTCCCTCCTTTTTGTACAGAAAGACAATGCAAGAAGGACTCCCTATCAGATTGGAGGGACTTAGCCTCATTCTCGAAAAGTAACTGTCATGAAGACCTCCTTATCAAGTTTGTTGCTGTAAAGTGCCACTGAGTCAACTACGACTCACAGCGACCCTATGAACCATAGCTCTGAACCCAGCTCTATCCTGAGCCAATCTCACTGTCTCTGTCACACCTGCCCCTACTGCCACAGTCACTGTGTCAAATCCATCTCATCCAGGGGCGTCTTCTCCTGTGCTGGCTCTCCACCCATCCAAACATGATGTCCTTCTCCAAGGACTGACTGGTCCCTCCTGGTCACATACCCAAAGTCCTGGTAACACACTCAAAGCACGTGAGACAGAGCTTCACAATCTTTGCCTCCAAGGAACAACTTGTTTTTACCCTCTCCAGGACAGATCTGTTTGTTCCCTTGGCAGGCTATGGGTATGTTCAATACTCTTCTCCAGCACAACTCAAAAACATCGATTTTTCTGTCTTCTTTAGTCACTGTTCAGCTCTCAGATGTATAGCAAGTATTTGAGAAGATTATAGCCTGGATAAGGTGCACCTTAGCCTCTAGACTGACATCATTGCTCTTCAGCACTCTGGGAGGTCCCTGACAGGAGTCTTTCCAAAACATCTCAACTTTTGATTTCCTGACTACTAGTGCCAAGACTGATAACTGTGTATCTGAGCAAGATGAAATTATTAACAACTTCAATCTCTTCTCCATCTATCGTGATGCTAGCAATTGGCCCAGTGGTGAGAATTTTTGTTTTCTTCTTAGTGAGATGAAATCCAGATTGAAGACTGTAGCCCTTGACCTTCTATAGCAAATGCTTCAAGTCCTCCTCAGTTTGGGGGTAAAGGTTGTGTTGTCTGCATAAACAGGTTGTTGATGAACCTTCCTCTAATTCTGATGCCATATTCTTCTTAGACTTCAGCCTCTCAAATGATCTGTTCCACATATAGATTTAAAAAAAGAACAAATGGAAAACTAACATATACAGAATGACGGCTACTAGCTCATGGGAATTACAGTATGTTATATGGCATATTTGCTTCATTTCACTGACAATTTAATCTAGACTTTGAGAGACGAATTTGAGCAAGGTTACACAGGCCAAGATTTGAACCCAGGTCTTCAGACTCTCAATTCACTCTTCTTAACACTACACCAAACTGGAGTAAAGGCAGATGGCAGCCCAGCCACATTAGTAGAACTAACTTAGCAAGTCAAACAGGGTACTAAGAAGCATGCACCCTTTAGGACCCAGGAATGGGTGAGTCCTTGAGAAGATTGTGTGTGTGTTTTGGGTGGGGAATGGATAGGAAAATACAGATGCAAACGAATCGCCTTCTAGGATAGAATATCCTCGGAAAAAAAGCAAATTATTTGCTTCTGAGATTAGCTACTGAAGGACAATTCCAGAAGCTTTGTGTAATAAAGAATTCCTACTTTCAGTACACTTGAAGGTTTAAGGTAATATGTATAATCAACAGGTACTATGAATCACAATAAAAAGCAAGTAAATTATCTTATAGCTCTAATGTGACAAAGTCATTTAAAAAAAAAATAATGCCTTCCAGTGGGATAATTCTAACAATTGGTATGTGATCTGTAGAAGTGTAATGTGTTCATATAAATAAATGCAGTCACTTCCTCAGAAGCATAAATTAAAGTAAGTGCATTATCTAACTCACCATATGAACCCCCATAGAATTTAAGAGAAAACAAAACCTTACCTTGGATGAGACTATTCTATTATCACAAAATCTCTGGGCAATGTAAGCTTCTGTTTCTGAAACTGGATGGTTGCCAACAAACACTGTGCGTGTACCAACTCGCTGCTCTTCTCCAGCACACTGACCAAAAGAAAGAGGAAAAGAGTCAGTTTCTCATCCCATTTCTACACACTTTTTCAGAGCTCAGAATTCCTGTCTAGGCATGTCTGCTTATAGTCTCGAGAGGGAGGGCAAAACCTTCTTAGGAAATGCAAAATTTACCTCCAAGTCCGGGGTTGCTGACTTAGTGTGCCTTGAACCAATTGTTCAAAGACCAACATTGCAATCAGAAAATGTTTATTTAGATAAAATATCCTAGAATGGGAGGTGGTGTCACTTTACTTTTCAGTGCCAGTCATTTTCTTTCATCCACAGCTCCAAAAGCCCCAGTGATCATTATCACAGCAGCAAAATTAGTAAAAAGGCCAGAAATGTTTCATTTATTATATAACAATTATCGAGGACAACAATCTCATCTACTTAACAAATAGTACAAAGCAGAATGCAAATCCTAATAAGTATACAAGCCAGACTCCAGAATGGCTGCCCCAAAAGAAATCTTGCATTTCTTTGGCTTTATGGAAGAGATTCCTCTGCGATTTCTTGGAGTAAACTGTCAAGGTTTCATTTTACACTATGTGCCTGTAATGCCCCTTTAATTTTTTTTTTTTAAAGGGCAAGGTTTCTTCATTAAAAAAAAGTTAAGGATCTGTGCTGGATAATCTAGCTCTGCTGAAAGACAAGACATTTGAAAAACGGACTGTCTGATGTCCTTTGCAAACTTGGAAACCAGCAAAGAAAACTTTTTCAAGAATGGTAGCTATACATGTTTTTATTCAGGAACAGATTTCTCTTTGGGACCATTGTATACAGGCCTTGACAATGTTTACTGTTGTTGCTATGTGCCCTCAAGTGGACTACAACTCATGGCGACCCTAAGAACAACCCTGAACCTTGCCCTATCCTGAGCCAACTTCAGAGTATGCAAGTTTCTCACAATATTGTGCAAAGCTTAAGTTACAGGAAAGGTGAAACACCTTGCCAAATGTATAGTCAGCCTCCCCCTTCCTCTTTTGTTCTAGGCTTTCTGTCATTGTAGTTTCCACACAATGCACCCAATGTGAATTACGGTAATTTGTCAAGACCATGTTTCTATACTACACCTGCAACGGAACCTTTCTCTGGTACTTCATGTGGGCTACAGTAAGAGTATGGGAGCGCTGGTGGCCGATTGGCAAGAAGCTGTGCTGCAATCCCAAAGGCTCGCAGTTTGAATTCACTAGTTGCCCCACAAGAGAAGGCTGGGTGATCTCCTCCCACGCGATTAACTGCCTCTGAAAACTGGAGGTTCAGTTCTGACTCGATGATGGTACAACACAAAAAGAGACTATGGAGAAGCAAGAGCTATTTTTTTTTATACAAGTTTTGACGGTCATTCTACAAAAAGAAAGGGAGAAGGGACAAAAGAAGTATATGGTCCACGAAACAAGTGGTTTCCAGCACTGCCAATAAAGGTTTTTCCTCCTCGATCAACTTATTGATCAAATCAAATCGGCCAATTGATTAAACTCTGAATTAAACTCTCCTATTTGCATTATAGACAAGAGAAGAAAAGCAAAAGTATAATGCACTCTCCTTGCACATCATATTTGTATGAGTCCACTACGTTTCTGTAACATTTGTAAATGTTTTGCTAGGCACTTTCCCCAAACATTACCTATGATCTCTTTCACATAAGACCTAAGTGGATTCCCTCTCCATTAAATTGGATATAATGGGTTGAAACTACTGTGCAGGTTGGGGGTGAGGATGACCTTGGCAGTGGTCACTGATAAATGATAAAGAAAGTCTGTCCCCTACAGATTTTATTTTCTTTTTTAACTTTCAGAGCAAGGCAAAGTATTCTCAGTTCAGGCAGGTGTGGGCTGAACTACTGAGAACTGGGTGGTGAAACAGATGACTATTCATGCCCATTTCACCTTAAAATCTGATGAACCTACAATCTCTGGTGGAATTGGCTGCAACTGTGTAACTCTGTTTGGTACACATAAAAATGGCTGCAACAAACTCCTGTAAATTCACTGTAATTTTCCACTTGCTGCCAATGTGGTGTTAAAACAGTGGTTTTTAGTTCCTGTGATTCTGAATAATGTAGGCGCCTTTGCCAAAGCAGAGAAATGTTAAATAGTAATCATTTAAGAAGAAAAAAAAATACCACTTGGATAGCACACAGCGTAGCCTGGAGTGGGAGTACATGATTCCTGGCACCTCAGAATGAATTTTAAGTCATTAAGAGTCCATCCTGTGCTGAGTTGCTCCTCATCCAAATTTCCTTAGGAACAGCATTTTCTTAATTGAAATATGCTGGCACCCATTCCTTTTATGACACATCTCATACTACAATAAAACTCAATAATGTATGGGACAATAAACCCTATTTACAACATGCGACTTAACAGAGAAAAGTAATTTTCATTTCTCCTTCAACATAAAATTTACCCCTTTGTGCTCCTGATTTAACACTGCCATACTATAAGCTCATTTGCTCACTCATTCATTGTCAAAAAGTCTGAATCTACTCACAACCACAAATTTCACGGTAGGAGGGTGCCCAACAGTCTCCTGCAGGGGCCCCTGGTGAGTTCGAATTGCCAGAGAGGTGTGACCTCTGGATAAGCAGTACAACTCTCTACAGATGCCGCCACCAGAGCCTCCCCATAATATATACTGGATATTAGAAAACAACAAAAATGCATAATAAAACAAGTACTTCGTACCAAAATATAGCTTCTCTCAATAAAAACACAACAGAGTAAGACGGTACTCTTACTTATCTCTAAACCCCCAATCTCATGGCTGCCAAGTGGATTCTGACCCCTAGTAACCCTCCATCAGGTTTCTGAGGTTATAAATCTGTATGGAAAGTGACTGCCCATCTTTCCTCCACAGAATCACTGGTGGATTCAAAACACTGACCCTTCAACAGTCCAATACAGTAGGAATTACTCCACTAAGGCTCCTTCTTACTTACTCTCATCTTAAAATCAGCCTTTGCTGATGGCTGCAATTATGACCTGTTTCTCAACTGACTCCAGGTAAGTGACTAGATAAACACTTGGCTGAGAAAAGTTAAAGACCTAAGAGAACTCCAGGGCAGAGCAGACCTTCCCGTAGAGTTTCCAAAGGCTGAAAATCCTTACAGAAGAACTGTCACATCTTTCTGCCATGGAACACCTAGTGGGTTTGAACCGTTGAACTCTTGGTTGGCAGTTGAGTTGACAGAAACTGTCACTATATAGGCTGGCATAGTTTCTGAAGTATCTACTTCATCCATTCCAAGTGTTAGAAACTTAACACGTAGACACAGATCAATGGTTCTTAATTATGTCCATGCACTAATTATGTTATTGTTGTTGTTATGTGCCGTCATTTGCGACTCATAGCGACCCTATGTACAACAGCCCTAAACCATGCTCTATCCTGTGCAAATCGCATTGCCTCTGACACACCCATCCCAATTACCCCAGTCACTGAATCAATCCACCTCTTAGAGGGTCTTCCCCTCCTGCGCTGTCCCTCTACTCTACCCAGCATAACATAATGTCCCTCTCCAAGGACCTGTCCTTCCTTACAACATGTCCAAAGTATGTCAGATGAAGCCCCAGAATCCTTGCCTCCACGGAGTAGCCTGGTTTAACCCTCTCTAGGATGAATCTGTTTATTTTCCTGTCAGGCATTCGGAACTATTCCTCCAGCACCACAGCTCAAAGGCGTCAATTCTCCTTCTATCCTCCCTAGTCATTGTCCAGCTCTCTGATGCATAAGAAGTGATTGCAAAGACCATGGCCTGTATCAGGCGCACCTTAGTCTCCAGAGAGACACCGTTGCTCTCACTATGAGAGAGGGAAAAAACCAATGCCTGAGATTTTTATTTAATATTTAACTTATCTGGAGGCACCCAAAGTGATGATTTTCAATTGCAGCCATGGCTAGGCCTTACTGCCACACATACTTTTCTGAATTGGTGACATCCTACTTATTTTTGGTGTAGAATGTGATCCCTAAATCTATGCTGCTGTGTACTGTTAAGCAGGAACGAACCCATAGCTGACCCTCTGGTAGGTTTTCAGAGGCAGTTAACTGAATGAGAGGAGACTGCCCATCCCTCTCCCACAGATCAAGTGGTGGATTTGACCTGCACATGCCTTCAGGATTGCAGTGTAGCTTCCTACCATTAGGACACCAGGGCTCCTTAAACCTGTACTTTTTTCTTTTTAAGTAATTAAAACCACTTAAAATAACATACTTTTCAGTGGGTGAAAATGGAAATAACTCTCAAGTAGTACAAGCTCCGACCATTTCAAGTTGCTCACAAGATTTTCCTCCAATGCTTCTTTTTTACATGTGATAGCTTTCATCAGTTATTCAAATGATAATTTTTTTTAAAAAAAGTATAGACCCTGACATGATGCAGAGTAACATAGGTTATTAGCTAATTAATCACTGAGGTCAATCTAAGCAATTTTGTTTTTTTTGGTTATCAAACTATTCATGTTTCTGTAGCAAATAAAAACACCTTCTCAAAAATAAGCAAAATATCCTCATAAAAAAAAAAACCCTCAAGCCTTGGCAATGATTTAAAAACTGTTCTCCACACCCCAGTCCCATAGCTCTGTTTTCCTGTGAGGCACTAGTATTTCTGACCCGCACAATCTGTTTTAATAGTACCAAAGGAATTCAAAATTGAAAGAGCATTTCATCACATTTTCCGACATGTCTTTAAATGCTCCCCAATGTCAGCATTTCTTTATCAGGGTTGAGGGTGATGAAGGAGAGGGTGGCAAAGGACCATTTCCAGTGTATTAAGCTTCATGGCTAAAATCACTAGAACGTATTCAGAGGTCAAAATGTTGAGGCTTCAAGCCTATTCCTTTATAACAAGCCAAGAATAATCATCTTGATGTGTAATTTACAGTCATAACTGAAACGATACTCAAAATCGTACTGTTGAGATTTTGCTTTTACTGCATCTTCTTAAGCGATTAAGCTGTCTTTGCTTTGTCAGGGCAAGTGAAACTGGGGTGTTTTTTTGTCTTCTTGCCTTTAAAGCTTC